AAATATTGGTATTTTTTCTTTAGGTCGAGAAATTTATGGCCCTCTGGAACAGTAACAAGGATATTAGGGATGATTATGAGAAAAAAATTTTGCCATCTCTCGACAGCCGGAACATGAGTAGGGATGGACGTATAAGAAACCCAGATGAGAAGCCGTTGGTGGTTGTGGAAGCACCTGTAGTAGAGACAGCACCAAAAGCTAATGCAAAACAAGTTAAGGAAGATACCAGATCTGCTCCATCAGATACTTCGCCTGTGCGGAAAGTTCAGAAAGAAGCCAAAAATAAAGCAACTGCTCCAAAATCTACTTCAGAGGATATTGACGTGGCAGACGAGGAAATATTTGTTTCTGAAAAGGAAACCCTAAATGAAAATAAAATTGATCCTGCCAAGTTGAAGGAGATGAAAAGAGTAGAGGAGATTGAAAAAAATAAGCTGGCCTTGGAGAGGAAGAAGAAGAAGGCAGAGAAAGATGCAGCAAAAGCAGCTATTAGAGCTCAGAAGGAAGCCGAGAAGAAGCTGAAGGAAATTATCTATTTATTTTTTATTTTTTTTGTAGTAGTTTGCTCTATTTAATATTGTTGGAATTAGAAACTGACAGGGGTTACCAATTTGACTTGCTTCAGGAGCGTGAAAAGAAGGCAAAGAAGAAATCATCTGCACCCGAGAGCAATCCTGAGGAACCGATAGAACCTGTTGCCGAGGTTGCAGAACCCGAAAAGGTAATTGAAAAGGTTGAAGCTCCTGTCCCGGCAAAGGCGAAGGGGCAAAAGGATAACGGTCCGAGGAACAGAGGTCGAGCAAGAGGTTCCGACGCACTACCAAAAGCCATCATGAAGAGGAAGAAGTCGAGTACTAACTATTGGCTATGGGCCGCTCCTGCTGCTTTGTTAGTTGTGTTGTTTCTCGCACTTGGTTACTACTATCTTCTTTGAGGAAGGTAAGCTGGAACATCCCGAGGTAGAGGAGAGTCGAGAAGTACAATTTTCTGCTTGATAAAGCGTTCGATAATGCCTAGGTCTATCTGTTTAGTTAAACTAAGTTATTTCTGATCTTTACATCCATTTTCGGGGTGGACGCAAAACTCATAATGTTGGTGGTAGTCAAAACTATCTTTCAATGGAGAAGAAGAAACACACATTTTCTTTTCGTTGTCATTTCAAAATAGAGAAGATCTTGGTTCTGTTATATTTCAAGCAGTCATCTGCAATCATTTGAGACCGTTGGATGTCCATCTCGTTTAGCGGAGTGATTGATTTTTACACTCCCTGTTTACCTCTTGCATTCCTCTGTTTTGAACCCTAAGAGCACTTCCACCTTGTGCTCCAGCCCGAGGGACAGGCACAGGAACAGGGCCAAAGAGCCCGAGTGATGAAGTCCAGCGTGTGCTGGCGAGCAAGCCCGAGCAGGCCCGAGCGAGAGGCCAGGCAGGAATCGACATCCCGAGAGCCTGAGGGCTGTGTGACGTGTGGGTGATGTGCGGCATCGGTGCATGCACCGACCTTGACATCTCCCTGTCCTCCTTCCCCTCATTTGACCTGGATCTACACAACCAAACCCTCAATTCGAACGAAAAACATCAAATATGTAGAATCAATTTCAAAAAATTAAATTAAACTAAATTTTCTAATAAAACTGCGGTTCTAAAACCACTGCATATGGGATCAAATTCAATTGGCAACAAATAAATCAAACAAGAAATAAAATAAAATAAAAGAATGAAAGCAGAGAAGAGGAGAGGAAGACGAAGATTGGAGAAGAAGGAGAAACCGAGGAGGGAGGGAATGAAAGCAGAGAAGAGGAGAGATGATGATGGTGGAATGAGGGAAAAACGTAAATGAGGGGAAGAAGGAAAAGAGAGAGAGAAAGAAAAGAGAGATAGAGAGAGATGGAGAAAGGACGAAGAACCGGTCAAACAAAAAAAAAATAAAGGGAAAGGGTGATGGGTTGGATGAGAAAAAAAAATAATATTTTATTATTCATTGCCAAAGCTATTCAAGTGCAACGGAGATGCAAAAGACGATTACTGTTCATCAATGACAGTTACTGTTCATTGAGTGGATTAAATAGTGTATAACCTGGAAGGAGGGTTCCCACGCTGGAACTGCTCTAATGGAAAAATCTCTTTTGTCGACCGAGAGGTCTGCTTGAGGAGTTCCAGGTGGTGGCAGTGAGCGACGTAGAGGTGCTGATCTACGAAATCAGCGTGGACGGAGCTCTACGTCGAGGGTTGAAAATCCACTATTTGTGAGACAATAATGGCAAATATTTCTTAAAAAATAAGTGAAAAACATTTCATAGCCCTATATTCCATAATCAACTATTTCTTAAACTAATAGTGGCAAATATTTCATAACCGACTCTCTCTTAAAAAAGTGGCAAATATTTTAAACATTTATGGTTTATAACTTCTTATTTTATTTTATTAATATTAGAGAGAAAAGAGGTTAGAGCCTAAATGCATGAGTAAAAGTTTAACAACTTATCTCTAGGATATTAGACCACATAAATAACTCAGATGATATCAGCTCTCTTCTTATATCAATCTCATTATTTTGTAAATTTACATGAATTAAATTAATTTAATTATAAATATAAACATTAACTTAATTTTAATTAAAATCCATCTTTTGCTTGTGCGCGATAATGACTAGGTCTATCTGTTTAGTTAAATTAAGTTGGTTTTCCTTTTTTTTTTTTTTTTTTTTTTCTAAAACTTCGACGGTACGAGAAATTTTTTTATTGATAATAAAAAAGAAGTTACATCTAGTCAGGGGGATGTAAACCTAACCCCTTTTGATACAAGAAAAAATGATTAAAAATACATGAAAATGAAGGGGAGACATAAACATTACCCTCTAGAAATGAAAACGACAAAAATACAAGGAAGAGGGGAAGGGAAGAAGACATGAAACCTAATCCCTCCAAAGCTAAACCTAAAAACCTAGACCTGCAAAATAGATTAAGCAACATAAGGTTAAAAAAAAAAAAAAAAAAAAAAAAAAGGTGAGTCAAACCTAAATTTTTTCTGATCTTCACATCCTTTTTCAGGGTGGACTCAAAACTCATAATGTTGGTGGTACTCCAAACCATCTTTCAATGGAGAAGAAACACACATTAGGTTTTCTTTAAGTAATTTCAAATTTTGATGGATGTTATCTTAAGAGAATATCATGGTTCTGTTATTTTTCATGAAATTCTGATTTTGAATGTCATTTGCAATTCTTTGGGACCGTTGAATAACCATTTCGTTTAGGGGAGTGATTGATTTTTACACTTCCTGTTTTACCTCAACGACAAGTTTGCCAATTTTTTTCTTTCCATTGTTTGAAGTATGGCAGCTTGCACTCGCTGTCTGTTTTGCAAAATGTCATTTACTCTAAAAATAACAAGGTCCTTTTCAGAGTGGAAAATCTGGCTTTGACGCATAAGGGTTGGGAAATCTCTCTTCGACGCATTCAAGGGTTTGCAGATGTACATTCAATTTGTGGTCATGGTTGTTTGCCAATTTTCTCAGTTTGGCAGTGCCATGCGATCATGTCTTCTATGCTTGTTTGAAATTTTGTTTGAAATTAGACCGAAAAACTATTAATGTTTTTGAGTCTTTAAGGATATGTATAAGTAATGAATGAACACTAAATTAAACCTTTTTGATGACACGTAATATTATTTGCAAATTTGGTCTAAAAATTTAGTCTACGTATTACTCTTTGCTGAAGATTAGACTTGAATTGGAATGGATATTTAAAAATAGCAACGTACACAGCTACTAGCTAGTAAATAAATTAACAACCAAACAAAAATTTGTAAAAATTGAAAAAAAATAAACATGCACATGGCATTTCGAACTTAGAACCTCTTGTTAATTTTAAACAACAAAAATCATTGCTTCTAATTAAACTTCTTTATCATTTAGCTAAATTTTATAAATTTATACTATTATGAAAAGAAATTTGTAAAAATTGAAATGTAAATAAACGCACACGGTGTTTTAAACCTAAAACCTCCTCATTCATTTTAAACAACTAAACCATCAGTTCTAGTTAAAATTTCTTTGTCACTAAACCAAATTTTATAAATTTATACTCCTATAAAAACATATATAAATATAACACCCTAATAATTTTGGTGTCCTCAATATTTTTGGACCCCGGACGGTCGTCCCACCAACACTGGGCCTGGGCCGGGCCTGGTGCCGGGGTCATGGCTGCCACCAGTTTCGTTGCAGCGTCTGTTTGTCAAAGAGCAGTTGTGGCTTTTGCTCTCTCCCATCCTCTTCCCCTGATATGCAGCAGGCTCTGTTACCACCACTGGACCGTTAACACCTTTCCTCTCACTCTCTCGCTCGAGTTCTTCAGGTGCCAACATAGCCCTCTTTTGGGTAATTGATTGTTGAGCATAAATCATGTTTGTTTCCCTCTCCATTCTCCAATTTCTTGTAATTTTGACTACCCATTTAGCTGAATCAATTATAGCAACCAGATAGACGGTTCTTAATTCTTTTTATTAAATCCGTTTGTTTTTTAGATATAATTTTTACCTAGTGATTTATATATTAATAATTATGATCATAAGCATTAAATTATGTGAATCGGTCATGTAGTGAATTGAAGAGCCAAGTAAGTTTCGTATTAAAATGGGGTTGAACAATATTTTTATTGAACTCACAATTTACACGAATTTAACTTAAAATGTTTTAATTATAGATAAAAAAGAATATCAATAGTAGTGATAAAACAACTTTATAGTCTCTTTATTTTTGGCAAGGAGCAACTTTTTAGTCTTTAGCTCTGTTTAGTTATTCATGTGTGGCCCCATCTTATGAGTTATGACGCTTTTTAGAATTTGTGTTCAAACATGGGTTTGAATAATTCAAAGCTAAAAGGAAACAAACAAATAATAACTAGAAAATGAAATAAATAATCGTCATGCATAGCTACCTTTAGTTGCTCCTATATATAGATGTAGGCTTGTTACTGTAAGCAATATCGAAGTTAAAAAATGGCTCATGGCTTCCTCCTCATCTTCTTATTCTCTTGCATGATATCGATAACAAATATTCATGCATGCAACCAAGCTGAACACATCTCTCTCCTGCTCTTCGCCCGCACTCTATCTTTTCCTCCTGTAAATTGGAGTAGTCTAGTTGATTGTTGTCATTGGAACGGCATCACTTGTAATCAAGAGGGTTGGGTCATACATTTGCTCTTATCCTTCAAAGGGCTCAAAGGAGGTATGTTTCTCTCATCACTTAGAAATCTCACACATCTCACCCACCTGAATCTTTCCCACAATTCACTTCATGGTGCACTTGAAACTAAATTCTTCTCGTCCTTGAATCGCCTCAAAATCCTTGACTTGAGCTATAACTTTTTTCTGGAGAGATACCGTTTTCTCTACCACCCAAAAAATATTCAAACAATAGATTTGTCAAGCAATTACTTTCATGGTGCAATTCCATCTTCTTTTTTCCAACAAGCTTGGAATTTGACTAGTTTCAATGTCAGCAACAACACCTTCTCTGGGCCTATCCCATCATCTATTTGTCTCCGATCATCCCCTTCCATAAAAGTGTTGGATTTTTCCTACAATAAATTTAGTGGAAACATTTCTTGTGGGTTTGGTGGGTGTTCCAAACTGCAAATTTTTCATGTCGGTCATAATAATTTGTCAGGATCACTTCCAGAAGATATCTACAACGTTACCAAACTTGAGGAACTTGCATTACCTCTTAATTCACTAAATGGAGTCATTAGTGAAAGAATTACCAACCTCACCCACCTTACAATCCTTGACCTCTTCTATAATCATTTGAGTGGTGTCATCCCTCTCAATTTTGGGAAGCTCTCCAAGTTGAAATTCATGAATCTTGGTTTCAACAGCTTACAAGGTAATGTGCCCCCATCTTTGATGAATTGCACAAACCTTGTAGAACTACATTTGGGATTCAACTACTTGGAAGATGATCTCACCAAGCCTAATTTCTCCAAACTCAGCCACCTTAGCAAACTTGACCTAGGTGGGAATAACTTCACTGGTATCTTGGCAATAAGCCCTTACTCATGTAGGTCCCTAAAGGCAATTCGGTTGAGTGTAAATCCTTATCTAAAAGGACAAGTACATCTTGAGATTCTTTCATTGAAATCATTGTCATTCCTCTCTCTTGCTAGTGTACAATTGACCAATATCACAGGGGCAATAAAGATATTAATGCGTTGCAAAAGTCTTCATGCACTCTTCCTTGCCAGTTCGTTTAGCGGTGAGGCAATGCCAACTGATGATGACATGGTTGACTTTCATGGATTCCAAAATCTTCATCTCTTGAGTTTGGGCGGATGTGGGCTCGCTGGTCAGATACCTGGATGGTTATCAAACCTAAAGAATCTAGAGATGTTGTATCTGGGTTTCAATCAAATCTTAGGGTCAATTCCAAGTTGGTTAGGGACTCTTCCAAAACTCTTTTTTGTGAGTCTATCATCCAACCAAATTTCAGGTGAATTTCCAAAACAACTTTGTAGCTTACCAATGTTAATGATGGATGAATCTCGACTAGACGATTATGAATTTGAACTTCCTCTCATCAGCCTCCCAATTAAAAATCCATGTTTTTGGCCACGTAGGTTGTCTAACTTTCCCGGAACAATAGACCTTGGGCTCAATAATATTAGTGGTAGTATACCTACTGAGATTGGCCAATTGCTATTTCTTCGTGAGTTGTATCTTAACAACAACAACAACAACTTCTTAGGAGACATTCCCGACCAAATATCTGACCTAAAATATTTAGAGGTTTTGAACCTCACCACGAATCATTTGTCCGAAAAAAATCCCTGGTCAATGGCGAGCCTTAATTTCTTGAGAGAATTTAATGTCTCGTACAATAATATTGAAGGACAAATACCAAAGGGCACACAACTCCAGAGCTTCAACACTTCTGCATTTGATGGGAACCCTAAACTTTGTGGTGCTCCACTTCCAAATGAGTGCAAAGAAATTGATGCGGATAATAAGAATGACAACCAAGATGCGAACAATGAAAGCGATGAGCATCCCTGGTTTTATATCTTAGCAGCCCTAGGTTTCATTGTTGGATTTTGGGGAGTTTGCGGTACTTTAGTTCTTAAGAAGACATGAAGGCACACATATTTTCAGTTCCTTGATAATGTACAAGATTCGCTCTATGTGAAGACTTAGATACACAAAATTAACACACTTGGTGACACGCTTTCTAATAAAGGATAGTCTTACCGTTGTATTTGGACCGCACTTGTATTAGAGAGTGTGTCAACAAATGTGTTAGTTTTGTATATCCAAATAGTATGACTCCTTAAGACGAACTGTTTGCTCCATGCCTGCTCTTAGTTCTCAATCTAACGGTTACATACATCTTTGATTACTTGTTTGGTGTAGAGATTGATTACTAACCCAGTATTTATTTATGTTAATTTCACTGCAATCCAAGATGGTGCGGTACAATCGCCCATCTTGAACTGCAAATTTATTCTTACTGCGATCCAAGACGGTGCGGTATCATCGCCTATCTCGGACTGCAGATTTAATTTTAATGCAAATTCTAGGTGGAGTTGTATAATCGCCCACCCTACCCTGCATATTTAAATTTACATGCTGTTTAATTTCATTGCAATTTTATGTGGTGCGGTATAATCGCCCACACTGCTCTGCATATTTAATTTTCCTGTTACTTGAGTGGTGCGGAATAATCGCCCATTCTATATTACATTATTTCAATAAGAATGGTGCGGTACAATCGCCCTTCTCATTCACCCTGAAAATCTCGAACCAGAAGTTTCGAGTGCTTATCATTTTGGCCTGAAGATCAAAATAAAAAATTTGTAAGAACCAGAAGTTCTAACATCATATTCCTCCAGGAATACATATTATTGCAAGTTCTTACACATCTCATTTTCTTTCAGAAAAGAAAATGGCGAACTTGGCGAAGCTTGAATTTGCTGCCCTGAATATTACCGGGAAGAATTACCTGACCTGGGTACTGGATACCAAGATCCATCTGGAAGCAGGGAATCTTGAAGATACCATCAGGGAAGAGAGCAACTCATCCTCTCAAGATCGGGCAAAGGCCATGATTTTCATTCGCCGCCATCTTGATGAGGCGTTAAAGAGCGACTACTTAACGGTTGAAGATCCGTTAGCTCTCTGGAATGCCTTGAGAAACAGATACAATCACCAGACAACGGTGATTCTTCCAAGGGCCCGCTATGAGTGGACTCATCTGAGGATCCAAGACTTTAAGTCAGTGGCAGAGTACAATTTTGCGTTATTCAGAATTACCTCTCAGATGAAGCTCTGTGGGGATATTATTACTGAAGAACATATGCTGGAAAAGACTCTCAGCACATTTCATGCCTCCAACGTGCTCCTGCAGCAGTAGTATAGAGCGCGAGGCTACACTGAGTACAACCAGCTGATATCTGTGCTCTTAGTAGCTGAACAGAACAATGAGCTCCTGATGAAAAACCATCATTCCCGACCTACTGGATCTGCACCATTCCCAGAAATGAATGCTGCTTCCCTCGAAGTGAACGCCACATCCTCTGGTGATGATAATCATAAACGAGGACGTGGCCACAAGCGAGGTCGATGGAATAAGAAAGGCAAGAACCATGGAGTTCAGTTTCATAACCAGGTTCCTAGGCATAATTTAGGCCCGAGCTTCAAAAATGCGAATCGCCACAAAGGCAAAGCTCATATGAATAATGCTTCCAGAAACTCTGAAGGAGCCTGCCATAGGTGTGGTGGCAATGGGCATTGGGCACGTACTTGTCATACCCCAAAACATCTAGTGGATCTGTATCAAGCCTCCCTCAAGGAGAAGGTTGTCGAGACCAATTTTCTCAACCAGACTAGACTAATGGATATACCTGATCCAGTATTTGACTTATTAGGGCAGTTGAACACAACTCATCTAGATGTTCCAGACTTTATTGTGGAAAGGGGAAATGAAGTATACCAGTCCGATTGAATCATTAATGTACTTTTGTTATGCTGAACTTGTAGTATTTCAGATTCAATAAAAGTGGCATGTAAATTTCTTGTTATAACTTGCTTTTAACTCTGATTCTCTTACTCAGAGAGCATGGATAAAAACTGTGGTTATTCTCAGAACATGAGAAATGGCGGAGATATTTGTCTTGCAGACAGTGCAACCACACATACAATACTTCGTGATCGAAAGTATTTCTCACGCTTAATACTTACAAGAGTAGGGGTAACAACAATATCAGGACTTTCATATGTAATTGAAGGTTCAGGGCAAGCCCAGATTATGTTACCAAATGGAACAATATTGTCCATACAGAATGCATTGTATGCTACTCGATCTACTCGAAATTTGTTGAGTTTCAAAGACATATGTTTAAATGGATACCACATTGAAACAAAAAGTGCAGAAAATGTGGAGTATCTATGCATTACCTCCAATGATACCCAGAAGTGTATATTGGAGAAGTTGCGTGGTATGTCGACTGGATTGTATTATACATACATAAGGACAATTGAATCACATACTGTCATGAACCAGAAGTTCATTGATTCAAAGGTTTACATGCTTTAGCATGACCGTCTGGGTCATCCAGGATCTACCATGATGGGTAGGATCATTACCAACTCTAATGGACATCTATTAGTGAGCAGACACATTGCTGCCTCAAATGATAACCCTTGCAAAGCTTGTTCTCAAGGGAAGTTGGTAATTAGACCATCTCAACTAAAGGTTGATGTTAAATCCCCATCATTTTTGCAAAGAATTCAAGGGGATATTTGTGGGCCTATTCAACCATCATGTGGACCATTTCGATATTTTATGGTTTTGGTTGATGCATATACCCGATGGTCACATGTTTGTCTCTTGTCTACTCGGAATGTAGCCTTTGCGAGACTTCTTGCTCAAATAATTAAGTTACGAGCACAGTTCCTAGATTATCCCATTAAGTCAATCCGACTTGATAATGCTGGTGAATTTACGTCTCAAACCTTTGATGATTATTGCATGACATTGGGCATTGATGTTGAACACCATGTTCCTCATGTCCATACTCAAAATGGTTTAGCAGAAGCATTGATCAAGCGGCTTCAGTTAATAACCCGCACTCTGCTTATGAAAACCAAATTTCCAGTCTTTGCATGGGGACATGCCATCTTACATGCTGCATCATTGGTTTGATTGATACCTATAGCCAACCATCAATACTTTTCAGTACAACTTGTGTTTGGACATCAGCTAAACATTTCCCATTTACGAGTTTTTGGTTGTGCTGTTTATGTGCCTATTGCACCGCCGCAACGCACTAAAATGGGACCTCAGCGTAGACTAGGAATTTACGTGGGTTTTGATTCATCATCTATCATTAGATATTTGGAACCCTTGACAGGTGATATGTTTACAGCTTGTTTTGCTGATTGTCACTTTGATGAGACAATTTTCGCGTCGTTAGGGGGAGAAAAGACCGTTCCAGAAGAACAGAAAGAGCTGACATGGGTTGTTCCTACCTTGTCTCATTTTGATCCTCGCAGCATTCAATGTGAAAATGAAGTGAGAAGGATCGTTCATCTTCAAAGCATTGCCAATCAAATGCCAGATGCATTTAATGATGCTATGAAAGTGACAAAATCACATATACCAGCTGCAAATGCACCTGCAAGAATTGATGTCCCTGTTGGACAAAATAACGTGGCAGCGAATGATTCATCTGGTGCACGCCTGAAGCGTGGTAGACCCCCAGGTTCAAAAGATTCAGCCTCTCGAAAGAGAAAGTCGAGGGCACAATTGAATCCAAATGAAGTCATTCAGGAAGAGAAAATGAATGATACATCCACAATTCATGATTCTGGACTTCCAGAAAAAGAAAATGTCCTTAATGAGACATATGTCCCTGAAGAGACAGAAGTACATGAAAGCAAAGAAATCTCCATAAATTATGCATGTACAAATTAATTGTGGGATCAGAATGAAATAATCATCGATGATATGTTTGCATTTGCAGTAGCCACTGAAATCATCTTAAGTGATGATATTGAGTCCCGCTCTGTTGATGAATGCAAACAGAGATAGGATTGGCCTAAATGGAAAGATGCAATTCAGGCAGAATTAAATTCCTTGGAAAGGCGGAATGTTTTTGGACCAATAGTCCAAACCCCGCCTAGTGTAAACCTCGTGGGTTACAAATGGGTATTCACAAGGAAACGCAATGAGAAAAACGAGATTGCAAGATACAAAGCACAACTTGTTGCACAAGGTTTTTCTCAAAGACCTGGAATTAATTATGAGGAGACATACTTCCTGTAATGGACGCAATTACGTTCCGTTACTTAATAAGTTTAGTGGTTTCAGAAAGACTTGACATGCGACTTATGGATGTCATCACTGCGTATCTATATGGAGAATTAGATATTGACATCTTTATGAAAGTCCCAGAAGGACTTAAGTTGCCTGAAACAAGTAATAAACCACGAAGTATGCTCTCGATCAAATTAAGGTGATCATTGTATGGTCTGAAACAATCTGGACGAATGTGGTATAATCGTCTCAGTGAGTATTTGATCAAAGAAGGGTATATCAACAATGTTATTTGCCCTTGTGTGTTCATTAAGAAATCCAATTCTGGATTCGCTATAGTGGCAGTATATGTTGATGATATGAATCTAGTTGGGATTCTTGAAGAGCTCAGTAAAACTGCTGAATATCTAAAAAGTGAATTTGAAATGAAAGATCTTGGAAAAAAAAAAATATTGTCTCGGCCTGCAGATCGAGCATTGTACTACTGGAATTTTGGTCTACCAATCAGCTTACATTGAAAAAATTCTGAAGTGATTCGGTATGGACAAGGCTTATCCACTTAGCACGCCAATGGTCGTTCGTTCTTTGGACATTAAAAAAGATCCATTCCGTCCAAAAGAAGATGATGAACTGGTCCTTGGTCCAGAAGTACCATATCTGAGTGCAGTAGGTGCTTTGTTGTATTTAGCACAATGTACTAGACCAGATATAGTTTTTTCAGTTAACTTGTTAGCAAGGTATAGCTCTGCTCCAACAATTCGCCATTGGAAGGGTATCAAAGATGTATTGCGATACATTCGTGGGACAACAGACATGGGTC